TCCCTGTTGATTATCACGAAGAATGTCCAATGAGGTTGCGAAACTTGACCTTTGATCTGCCATTGGGTTTTCTTCAACACCGCATCACGGTGACATGATAGTTGAGATGCTCTCGCCCGCCAAGATCTTCTTACTCCCTTGTCCTCCCTGTACTTGGCACCATTATGATGCATCTAGTATCAGCCTGATAGAGCGATCAATGGAACAATGCAGCGCTGATCTGCTGTGGGCGATGACAAAAGTCACAAAGTCAATGCTCACCTCCGTGGCCCACTCCGGCCCGTGTGGGTGTGCTGAAAAACTCCCGAGTGACGAGGTTGCCAGGGAGTGTGGGCTTTGGAATTGGTGGGCAGAAGGGAAGGGAAAGAAGCCAGGAACTTGGTAGGTTCGCTTGATACCCAGACAGGATTAGTGGAATATGCCAAGAAATTCTGGCCTTTCCACTGGCATTGTGTGTGTGACACGGCTATTGTGAAATCGAAGATAACCACGCTTAGCATGAGACCTGTCTGTCAGTCTACCTTAGGTATGTTAGCCTCGTTCCTAAATGCCATTGCCAACGTGTGTATTTACCTTATACTACGAAGCCAGGAATATATCGTCAGTTTAGAGCTCTCTTTCCCTAGCATTGAAAGGGGGGTCGAGCATTATGATTATCATAACCGTTCGTGCCTGTCCCGTCCCGTCAGTTATGGCTACTACCTACCTAACGGCGCCGTTGTGGTACACAGATACCCTCCCACTAATCTCTCAGATGATTCAAGTAGGCAAGGCAAGGTATAGTAGCTAGAGTATTCGGTATGTAAGGAGCTTCGGTATTATGATTCTAGGGGGTTGCCCTCCTATAACAAAGAGACTCTGAGATCGAAGTGTTGAGCTTGTCCTTGACAGAGCTAACAATAGATGGATATATTACGAGTATGCCCACAAAAGAAGTGTTTATTGCCTTAGTACCTAGAGTTGGGTCCATGCACGGATGTGGGTAACAAAGCTTCGGTACTTTCCCTTCAGGTATTACTTCCCCTCACCTGCGTGACCATGTAACAGTAAATATATGAGGGTTGCGAAGGCAGTACCGAGTAGAGTACTTGTTTCACAAGTGTCTTGTCGCTTCTACTGTGTGTTCTTTCCCCTCTATTGATGTTTTACTCCACTCCATTTACAGGCTCCTGCTGCCACAATAGGTACCAGACCGTCAGGCAGGAAGAAAACTCAAGACGTAAAAAGAGGGTGCTAAAATAAACTCAGTAAAGAGTCCCCTGTATTCAAGGCTAAACGACCCAAATATTTTTATCGTCTAGTGTCGAGGTCCCGAGTTTTCTTTCCTTCCCTAGCAGACAAAGGCACTGCGACCTAGGTACCTACTTACCTAGGTTGGTTTTAGCTGCTTGGTTGGCAGGTACAGTAATACTGGAACACTCTTTCTGTGTGGTCAGTGGTCGGTCACTCGCGGTTTTTAGCTGTCTTAGGTTGGTCCTGGCCCTGGCCATCCAATTGTTTTACCTTACAATAGGTGCAATACTTTCTTAGCTTAAGTGCCTTGGGTTAGTAGGAGGTAGCTAGCCCATGATTTCCATCTCTTGTTCCTCTTCTTCTATCCTTCACCCAACTTACACATCTCTCTCACCTCACCTTTCTCTCGCCTTCACCACCTCTCTTCTTCCTTTCCCTTCCCTTCCCTCCAGCTTTCTCAACCTTCCTCCCGCTCTCCTCACATTCCCCTCTTCCTACCGTCGACTCTGCTTCGCCTACGATACATTACATCAGCTGTCGAAGCACGTCTCCCGCGCATCGTTCTGTAAGGTAGCCCACCTGCCCGCCTCCGCCGCCGGCCGCTTTCACAGCCAGAGTGCTTGCGACCCTTGACCCCGCTATCCCGCTTCGCGTAAACGACCGCAAGAAAAAAACACACTGCACCACCTCCCCATCTTCCTACCCCCGCCTTCTCCAGCACACTTGGACGTCTTCGCAGTTTCCGCAGCGTCGACGATAAGGTTAGTACACTCGTCATAATTTAGTCCTGCTTCGTCTCTCCGGAGGATATGCCCTTCAATATTGTCATGAAGGCAGGCACTTGTATCTGCTCTTCTCTGCTCTGCCGTTCTGAACGTGCACCGCAAATGAGGGATGCTCATTAGACCCTTGATTTGCGCCTCCAACAACGGTGATAATGGAAGAATACATACTGACAGCATTTTAGATCCGACCAGACACATCTTACCCGCGTCTGTTCGTTCTCCTCCAAACGATCCGCTTCCAACTCGAATCACGACTTCTTCCTCCGCGTGGACCCCGACTTGACTACTGCAAAATGTCGGCACCTCAGGATTCTATTCCCGGCAACGGAAGCGACATTCTCGATCAGATGGATCAGCTTAGAATGGATGACCGCCTTGGCCCTGATGGCGAACCCGCCCCTAAGACGGACGAGGAGTATGCCCAGGCCCAGCTGACCCTTCGTGCGATTGTCTCTTCCAAGGAAGCAGGTGTCATTATTGGCAAAGGCGGCAAGAACGTTGCCGATCTAAGAGACGAGACTGGCGTCAAGGCCGGCGTCAGCAAAGTTGTACAGGGTGTTCATGACCGTGTTCTGACCATCACCGGCGGTTGCGACGCTATTTCTCGAGCCTACGCGATTGTCGCTCGCGCTCTGCTCGAAGGTGCCCCCGCTATGGGTATGGGAGGTGTGGTTCAAAGCAACGGTACCCATCGTATGTGGCGATTTCTGCCAACGGCAATCGAACCTTGGAATTTCTGCTAACTGAAGTCTCAGCAATTAAGCTTCTCATTTCACACAACCAGATGGGAACCATCATTGGAAGACAAGGTCTTAAGATCAAGCACATCCAGGATGCTTCTGGTGTCCGTATGGTTGCCCAGAAGGAGATGCTCCCTCAATCCACTGAGAGAATAGTCGAGGTTCAGGGCACTCCCGGGGGTATTCAGCGCGCTATCTGGGAAATTTGCAAGTGCTTGGTCGATGATTGGCAACGAGGCACTGGCACCGTCCTCTACAACCCTGTGGTCCGTACTCAGCCATCTGGCAGCGGAAACGCCAGCGGTGGTGCTGGATTCAGCCAAGGCTCCGGTAGAAGCGATTATGGTGGCAGCCCTCGTGTCATGCGAACAGGCAACGGTGCCGATTTCAGCAACGGCAGCTCAAGGCCGTACAACCGCCGTTCCGACTCTGACGCAGCCCTTCGAGGCCCGCCAACACACGATGAAAATGGTGAGGAGATCCAGACTCAAAACATCAGCATCCCCGCGGACATGGTTGGCTGTATCATCGGTCGTGCCGGTAGCAAGATTAGCGAGATCCGAAAAACATCTGGCGCCCGTATCTCTATTGCCAAGGTAAGCAATTTTCGCCTTCTCCACCCCCC